CTGAGCTCAGCCTTCCCTTTCCCAGTCTCCTCCCATCTCCAGGGCATGACACACAGGCTGAGAAATGTGGGTAGGAGAGGAGGTAAGGGGAGGCTGCTGAGCGCACAGTTTGTTTTCCTGGCTTGGAATGCAACTCCTGGGGGGCTTTAAGGAAGTTTCTGAAAGGGAAATGGGTAATTTAATTGCTGCATTAGAGGATCTGCTCTGTTTGAGTGCAAGCTGCTCCAGAGCTTAATCACCTCACTGCTTGGGGCTTTGTGCCTTCCCCACCAAACCGAGGGCACACGCCGCACTGGCAGCCTTCTGCAACATGCATTAAAGACATTAAAACAAACTCTCTCTAGCTAACTCTGGCTGTTCAAACTCAATTCATTCTTTTAAATGTCTAGGATTAAAACCAGAGCAGGAAGAGGGAAATTAATCCTGTCCCCCTGCCCCAACCGATGTCCTGCTCAGAGCTGCGTGGAAGACAGCCGGTGAATCAGCCCTGGAGGACCTGAAGAGCTGCTAAAGCTGCGTTCTGGGTTTATTCAGCATCTAGACTGGGCTCTGTGCTCCAAGTTTTGCTGAGAAATTGCAAGCAAGTGCCCTACAGCAGCCGAAAAGCAGCAGCACATCGCTGCCGAGCACGCTGCAAAGCACAGCAGGATCTGAATCTTCCTGGGTGCATCTTATTACCATTCGCATGGGCTGGATGTGTGGTTGCCCGAATGTTTTGTTTCATTTGTTTCTCTTTCACTTTTATTCATGTGGATGAAAATGCTGTCAAGGAATTGCAAAGCAAAGAGTGAGGTTGCTCCTGTCATTGCCTGTACACTATTTCAAAATCCCCGAGCATGGAGATGCTGAAAGGGGAAGCTGGAAGGCTCTATCCTAAAATCAGGCCAGATCTTCTCTTTAATGACTCCTTTATTCCACCACTGGAAATCTTTCCAAGATTACTGTGGGTGCAGGGGCAGTGCTGGAGCAGCAGCCAAGTATCTCCATTTCACCCAAACCCCAGTGCAGTCCTTCCACCTGTTCAGAGCAGATTTAATCCAAATTCCTTTCCCCTTTTCTTCCCTGTAAGTACGGAAACAGCAGCGGCACTCGCTGGTGAGCTCTGAGCAGCACCGAGCTGGGGACTTCAGCAATGATATGACTTAGACAGGGGCAACGGGTTTAAATTGAAAGTAGGCAGATTTAGGCTAAATATAAGGAAGAAATCCTTCCCAGAGAGGGTGGGGAGGCACTAGGACAGGTTGCCCAGAGAAGCTGTGGATGCCCCATCCCTGGAAGTGTCCAAGGCCAGGCTGGATGAGGCTTGGAGCAACCTGGTCTAGTGGAAGGTGTCCCTGCCCATGGCAGGGGGTGGCACTGGGTGGGCTTTGAGGTCCCTTCCAACTCAACCCACTCCACGATCCTAGGAATGCCATGTACAGGAGGGCTCTTCCCCTCACTACAAGGGAGTGGAGCTCAACCACTGGCAGGGGTCAGTGTCTGGGCAGTTTTTAGCCCCTTGAGTACAACATGACTTTGCCAGATGCTGCAGACGCCTCGAGGGATGCACCAGCGCCGCGTGAACGTCGCAGGGAGGTGCTCAGAAGGTAACCAGGGGTTGCAATCATAGAATCATAGAATGGTTAGGGTTGGAAGGGACCTCAAAGATCATTTAGTTCCAACCCCCGTGCCATGGGCAGGGACACCTTCCACTAGACCAGGTTGCTCCAAGCCACATCCAGCCTGGCCTTGAAGACATCCAGGGATGGGGCATCCACAGCTTCTCTGGGCAACCTGTTCCAGTGCCTCACCACCCTCTCTGTGAAGAATTTCTTCCTGATATCTAATCTAAACCTCCCTGATTTCAATTTGTACCCATTACCCCTTGTCCTATGACTGCAGGCTCTTGTAAAAAGTCATGCAATGTCGTGGCTGGTGCTGGTAGGACCACGCTCTCCACGTTCTGTCTGGGGAAGTTCTCCTAATGAAGCGCTAGAGATGCAAGTTTTTAATCTTGCACAAACAAGACTCTCACTTACAACCTTTGGTTTTTGCTGCGATACTATTGAACGTGAGATGGGAACAGTTTTTACAGCTCAACTCCAGCACAAAGGCACTTTAAATTAGAGGGTAATCTACCTACATCTGTTCCAGGGGCAGCCCTGAACGACTACACACACACCTTCACATTAAATTATATTTGCACCTAGTCACTTCAAGCTCAGTGCGGGGCCAGAATACGTTATCAGACTCCTGTGCTGCTAAGAAAACTGATTTTTTACTAAATTATGCCTTCACAGGAAATCTCTATCTAAGCAAAAGTTTTGAAAAAATCAAATAAATTCTGTAGCCCTGTTTATCTCATTATCCATGAAAGATTCAGAGACCCAACACAGTTTCAAGCTTTGCTCTTGACTAACTCCCAGCCCACCAGGGAAAAGAAAAAACACAACCTGTTTTGGATGAAAGCAGCCCCTTGGTGGGACTTTGGACTACACTGTATTTCCAAGGGTTATGTTTCCAAGGGACTTAGGAGCAGATTATGTCTCCAAGGGTTCTTTCAGCCCTACAGACGTTGCTTTGTCTCATGATGCTGTGATTTACTTTAATAACCTTTGGATGCTTCAATCACGGCTCCCGCTGCTGCTCTTGTGCTGCTCCTCGCACTCATACAGTGCCTGGACCTGCTTCAATCGGAAAGCGGGGAGACCCAAATCTGTCCCAGTCTGCTTCTCTACCCCCCAAATTTCCTCTGCAGAGCTCTGTGCTTTGGGACTTCAATGCAATTCCCTGTACCCCAATGTTACTGGGAAGGTTGTTCGTTGCATCGAGATACAGCGCTGCTTCGAGATCTGAGAGAATTGGATATTCCTCATCAAAAGACCCTTTTTTCTTCCCGTAAGGAAACCAGATTCACAGCTCCACAGTTTCTTTCAACATCAGCAATCGTAAGGGCTTGTGTTTCTTGCCAAGCCCATGTATCCACCTGCTTCTTCCCCTGGCTAGCGCGTCCCAAACGGAGCCTCACCTCTGCTCCCCAAGTTCTTGACCTTTTCCACAGAAGATCCTAGGATCTGTCACTGTCTGGTGACGCCCACTTTTCCTATCATTACAGCACTAAACCATCCATACAGGGGGATACTACAGACACCCGTTGTGATTTAAGCACCCAGTCTGGAGACTGGTACCCCTTTGGCGGGATGGATGCCTGGAGGTTGCAGAGGGTTAAGATCCTACGAGAGATCCCAAAGAGACTTGAGCTCTTAAAAAATGGGATTTAGAAAAATGGGAAGCAAGCATACCTATTATCAGACCAACGTGCTCCTTTGGAAAGGACCCCAGCAGAAACTCGCTGCGCTACCACCCACCATCCCAAGGCGGACACAGAAGCGTTTCCTCCTCTAGAACCACGCGGAACCGATCATCCCCCAGAGCACACAAACCCCAGCCCGCGGCTCGAAGGCGACACGCGGCAGCTCGTGTGTGTCACCGTCCCCCAAAAAGCCAGCGGGCCTCCAACACAACAGATGTGCAGATGAGAGCAGAGTAAAACAAGGCATTAAATTCCATCAACAGAACCATATTTTTCTTGCACAAATAACACCCATTAGCAACTCCAAGGAGAACAATTCCCACTCTTCAGCTCTGAAGGAGTACGCAGTTTTTCAGGAGACACAATGCAAAGATTTTGTAGAATTCAGGCATTCAACAGGACTAATGTGAAAGATTATTTTGCAATTATCCAAGCAATTTTCTCTCCTCATTGTCCCTGGACCACAAGGGTTTTTAAATGTGAGCAGAAGGATTTATTCATCACAATAATAATAAAATGAAATATTAAATCAATGAATCTCTTTGCATGAAGCATAAAGCTCACAGTGCTATTAAGCTTAGTAGCATCCTGTCACATAAACCACACGCAGTTTGCGTACTTAAGCACCATCTCCCGCTTTTATTTTTCCCTTCCCTAATTTGTAAGGCATTATCCTTCCATTTGTCCCCTAAACATGACCAGATTCAGACAACAGTGTTGCTTCACAGGGGCCCTATGCCCGTGTTCTCTTTACAAGGGTAGGTCGAGACTCATATTTACTGTTGATTGCTGACAATGGCCGGTGCAGAAAGCTATGCTGGGATGGCAGGAGTCCTAAAATAAACACATGCATAAATAATAATCTAGGGAGAATTAACTCCTTACAAGCAACACTGCCCACATGCAAGTGAGTCGCTGGGCGTGAAAATGAATGAACTTTGAAGGAGTTGCTTCTTCAGTTCGGCTGGGGCAAAATATAATCAACCCAAAGCTAAGCAAAACCCAATTACAACCTTTGGAGCATGGAAGCTGTTATGGGCATGCTGGCCTTGGCTTTTATTTCCTTCTCTGCTATCCCTTGTAATACAAAGGGGTAAATCACTTGCGAAGCCCTTGCATTAGGCACAGCTTCAGTGGTTCCCTCTTTTGTTTCTGTAACCGATTTATCTGGTCAAGTGCAGCAGCAGTCACTAGTTTGGTACTTAAAAGGTGCCAACTGCCCTCACAGTGTGGCACTTAAGGAGCCTAAAGAAGATTTTCAATAAACTCTCACTCGAAGCCCGGAGATTCATACTAGGCTCCATACGAGCAATTCCTGGTTTGTGGGTGCTAAACACCTAAAGATCCCCTATTTTTACAATTTAGGCTCTCGTGCGTCTCAGCTCCTGCATGTCATAACCCAAAGGCCACTGAATGACTTCTCTCATGACAGCATTTCGTATCGTCTGCGTTGCCACGTCTGCAGAGCGCAGCCGTCCGCCGCTGAGCACCAGCCATGGCATTCTCACAGAAACACCTAAAATGGGTCAAGATGAGTCATACCTGTCATCTCCCTGTTTTTCTCCGCTGATAAAGGTAGAGACTTCTACAAACACTGGAGATGAAGGCTGTCCTAGATGACTTACACTGAGCTGACACACTGCAGAAGAGCTACAGCCAACTTGAACCCCACCAGAAGGCAAGACCATAGTAGCTACATCATTCTTACCATGATTGGGACGCCAATGTCTGGCCACAAGAGATCCTCGGAGGGAAGCTTGGGAGAGTTCCACACTACCACAACTTTATTTAAGTACGGGAGACCATTGAGCCTTTCTAGGGAGTTCATCAACACTTCCTCCCGCTCATAAGTCAACATCACTACTGTGAACTGCTCCCGGGGGATGTTGCCACCCAAGGCAGCCTGGAACTCCTTGCCGGAGCCACCTGCTCCTCCACCAATCGGTCGAAATCCAGTCCCAGACCCCAAAAATTTTGCTTCTGATGGTAAAACAGGGTCAAAGGGAGTGTAGGGGAAGAGGTGGAAAGGCCCCGGAGCAGAATTCCAATTCCTGTAGATGTCCATTGCAGTGAGGGTGAAATTGCGGAGATATTTGGGAGATGCATAGGGTGGTTCAGTTTCCACAGGCCCCAAGTCCAGGTCACCGTTGTCTGCCATATTGGGGTCTGTACCAGCAGCTTTGCCAGACCGATGGGGAATCTCCACGGCAGTTTCTTCTCGGATAGGAGCAGCTGGGATTTGGATTCGAGTCCTTATGATGGCTAAGACTGTGCTGAACACGTTGTCAGAGGTGGAGAAGTAGGTCTCCCACAAGAAGCGGCCCTGCCTCCTCATGGCAAGGAGATCGTTGTCAGAAATGCTTCTCAGAAGAAAGTGCACTTCTGTGATACGTGGCTTTGGTATGATTAACGCTGCCTCGTTCCACTGGATCACATCGTTATAGGGTAGCTGAACTTGCTCTCCGAGAACCACCGGGATGGCTCCAACTTCCAGAGCCTCAAACAGTCTCATGGCACACCCGGCGGAGATCACTAAACGGGTGTCCCCCGGGGTGATTATCAGTGCAAAAGTAGATAGCTTCAGTAGCTCTAGCCTGTCATCCCTTTCTCCACACAGAGCCCACTCAGTGGGCAGACTCACCTTAGGCTGGTTCTTACACGTGAACTCCACCAAAACAAAGTCCAACTTGCTGTCCTGAACAGCCTTCAAGGTGGTGATGATCCGATCGTCGTAGTCAGCTGGGGCATTGCCTTCTATTTCCTCTTCGAAAGAGCGAACCTCCTGCAAGCTAGATCGGAGAGACTCGATCTTCTCCCCCTGGAAACTAAACAGGTATTTACGCTTGACTGGCACCTGGGGCGGGATTTCTAGGAAGTTGGGTTCAGACATAGCATGGACCAGAGGCGATACCACAATATCAAACCCCGGTCGATACTGCACATCGTAAAAGGTGGACTGGGCAATCATGGCGCGCCCCGTGCTGATGTTGTAAATGAAGTTCTGGGTTTCCGATTTCCTCGACAAATTGATGATGAGATGGTTATGTCCATCAGTCCTCCAATATGGCAAAGAGTGCAACTGTTGCTCTAGTTCAGTAGGTTTTGGCATTACGGGCTCTTGCATTTCTCCCACTAAAATTATATACACACAAGCAATATTTGCATTTTCAGTAACATAAACGTTAGTTCTGACAGTCGCCTCAAAGGCTTGTTTAATTAAAGGGTCCAAGGAGCTACCAAAAGGGTAATCGTCACTGTTGTAGACATAGACTGGAAAGCCAGACGTCAACGGGCAGCGCGAGTAGTCAAAGCAGTTGTGTAGCCTGCAGTTCCGGTTGGATTTTGGCAGGGGGAAGGTCACATCGTCTTTGTCTGGCAGCAGCCGGATGGGCAGGGAGAGCTTGGGCTGGTTCTGAGCCATCAGCTCTTTGTAGGAATGCTCGGTCTGGCTGATGACGTTTTTCAGCTGCAGCAGGTCCTGCTTGGCATTTTCAATGCTCTTTTTGCAGGCCTCGATCTTCAAGTTGAGCTTGGCGATCTCGCTGTTGAGCTCCTGCCGCTTGGCCTCCAGCTGGAGCAGCTCCTCGCTGACCGACTCGCGGATACGGCACAGGTCTTGCACATGCTTCACCTCGCACAGCTCGTTGCCGGTCCGAGGGCCAAAGATGCGCTTGCCGGCATCGTCGGCGTCATCGATGGTGGTTAAGTAGTAGTGGGCAATGAGGGGAAAGAAGACGAGGATAACGAAGAGGGTGAAACTAAGCCAGGTGAGCCGTATCCGACTGGACCATCTCAACACCCACGGCTGGCCTCCGTTCCCCACTCCCCCATTCCGCAACATCGTATATCCAGTCATGAGTTCAAAAGTCGCTGCGCGCCCAATCTCGTTGGATCAGTAGCCATAACCAAAAGAGTTTTTATAGCGAGTCTCTTGAAAAAAACTGTTACTGTGCCTGCTTAACGAGAAGCCAATAGAAGGGGAATTTCATCTTCTTGTCGTGCCGACGGCTTTTCTACAGTCGTTTCGCTGCAGGCGCAACTTCTGATCCCCTTGGACTCAACCATTGACCTTCTCACCCACCCCCAGCCCACCCCTGGTCTGCGGGCGACGGGTTGCTGGAAGTGTCACAGCGTTGTCATGGTGATTCAAAGTCTCAACCAGCAGAAGAAAAACACAACGGGATCCAGCCAAACTCTACCGCCGCTCTCGACATCCTGCATTACCATCCAATGAATATGCAGAGGCACCAGCCATTGTGGAGAAGGAGCCAGAAGGGACTCATAGGAACGTCAGTCTCTCTCACCGTTGCTGCGCGGCTGGTGCTCTGCCATTCCTACAAGGGAACAATCATATGTTCAGACAATGCAAACAAAACCCCCCCTCAGCGACCTAAAGTTGTCGCGAGTTTTTAAACGGCGACCGTCCTCTCTATGAAAGAGCAAATTTTGTACATGTCTAACACCTCTGGGGTTAATAGCAGTAAACCTAAGAAAGTGATGGGATTCGTTAGCTGCAGACACATGGCTTTCTCCTGGTTTTCGTTAGGGCTGCATGCTTCAGTGGCCAGACCAGAAAAATCACAGGCCCTGGATCTGGTTTCCTATTTCTGCCTCTGACACTGCCTTGCCATGAAGCTTTGCAGAAGCTGCTTAACATCCACAAACCCCCATCTCCTCGCGTACCAAACGGAGATATTAATGTACACCTGCTCTCCCTGTTCTCCGTTTGATGGCACGTCGTGATCCCGGGACGCAGCAGCGCTGGGAATTCGTACCGTGTAACTGAGTGTAATCACTATTGTTCTGGTCTAGTGACTAGAGCTGATGAGGAATTTTTAGATGAAGTGTTTTGCTTTCATTTCCTGCTGGAAAATTTTGATTCATTGCGAGAGAAAGTTTAAAGGGAACGTACTCGGGTTAGTAATGATTATCTCTGCTGGCTGGCTGCACAGGAGAGAGAATTTCTGGTCCAGACTGGAAAAGTCTACGCTGCACATCAAAGCAAAGATGCCGGAGGTAGGATCTGTTGGGTACCACATCACCCAAGCCCTTCTGCTTGGAAAACTCTGCTTTGGCACTGAATGCCTACGTAGCACGGGTATAAAAGTCAAGGACAGCAGATTCAGCTTTTTGGTCCATGCCAACAGATTTAAATCTAGGCCAGACGAATACACTGCTGTTAGAAACTCCCCCGTCCCTTTTACCAGCATCCTCCGAGGTCCCTAAGTTTCTGGGACATTCTTTCACATACCAGACTTCGCACATCACTGATGAATAGCGCTGGGCTCAGCATCGACTCCGGCACAGCCTCGAGAGAAGCTTATTCATTTCCGCTACAATTTTTAATTAGAGGAAAGTCATCTACACTAGTGACGGTCATTTTTCACTAGATCTATTTAATACTCCTCTCATCTACTCATCAAGAATTAGCAGAAGCAAATCTGAGCTAGAACAGAGATCTGGAAGCAGGCCAAAGCCAAATGGAAGTTCACCTTAAAGGAGCAGAGAGAAGGCAGGAATAATTTTCAGGGTGGTACACGAGTGTGTGTCAGATAAATGGAAGATTTTACTTTAACCAGGAAAAATCATAATGAAAGGGGAAACAAGTGGAATAATCAAGCACAATTCCTAGGCCTATTTTATTACGAGACCATTTGTTGTCGGTAACAACGCCCAACAATTAAATGGCAATCCCCCTCCCCCCACAAAACCTGACCAGCAACTGGGGGTTGCACAGCAGTACAGACGCTTAAAATTAAGACAGATTTAAAATTCATCACGTTGTCTGGCAAACAGCACTAGCGTAAATCTTAGAAAGCCATGAGGATAAAAGGGCTAAAAAGTCAGGAAAAGGCTAAATCAGCTTTCCGAGATCTTGGCAGCGCAGTCGCTGCGGGCAGATGGGGGAGGCTTCGGCTCTGCTGGCAGGACATTTTCAGGCTATTCTCTGTACACCAACTTGCATTTGGCCAGGCCGGGAGAGAGGCTGGTGATGAATGCAAACCCCCAGCGCTTCGGCGCGGGGCTGGCAGTCGGGCGCAGGGAGCCTGGCGATAGCAGCACGCTTGCAGCGCGCCTCCGGGACCGCTTGCTGCACAACAGAAGGGGTTTAGCATGCACCAGTGTGCCAACCAGGTGACTGGAGGCAAAACCAGATCAAAATAAGCTTTTAAAGTCTGTTTTAGTTTTTTTCCCCTCCCCCCCTCTTTTTTAAGCTCTCCACAAGAAATGAAGCTCACGCTGTCACTGCTGCTGCACCAGTCGGTCAGTCCCTGCCATTTGAACATGGTCTCACAGGGTCTGCAAAGATCCTAAAATTGAGACTAGTTTTCTGCAAACAGCTGGCCAGGAGGTGAGAGCTGCCCTATTAACCCTTTTCCCAAGGGGAAACGCCAACGCACACGCTCACTCAAACACCAGTGAATCTAAAAACCAGCTTAACTTCAGGGCATGAGTGGGAAAACATGCCCTGCTGGTTTTTGGTTTTTTGGGGATGTCACTCAGTTAAATGTGGTCAAACCCTGCAAGGTGCTGCGACAACACAGAAACAAGGGATCATAAATGTGGCCAAGACGGAATGAGGAGGCTCGTGGATGCGCTGCTTTGGAGCAGCCAGGGAAAACTGCATCCCTGCAGGCAGTAAAAGCAGTCCCAAAGCTTATCAGCTGAGACTGCATCTAAATCTTGTTCCTTTGCCCATTTACGAGCCCTAAACAGTGATGGAATGGCAAACTGGACTCCCTAAAATGGCAACTGGGGTCCTTGAAAAGCTAAATCCATCGCCCCACACATGATCCTCTGCAGCTGTTCTGCTACCTAATCCTTCCAGAGGCTCCTCTGCTCCTTCTGTTCACTTGACACAGAACAAACTTTATCCTCCTGCCCTAAAAACGTGGGCTGTGAGTTAAAAAAAATCCGTACGCTCAGAAACCTGAAGCTGACGAAGAAACTGCTGCTAGCTTGGAAAAGACCACACGGGAAAGACCAGAACAGACGAAGGGGGGGATTTAAAATGCAACACGTGCAGCTTGGGATCAGTTAAAAGTATTGACTGTCAGTATGAAATATGTGCTGGCGATAAAGCACGCACTTTAGACACACTCTGACTCTTCTTCATTACTAAGACGTTATTCCTCATCAACTCGATAGAGCCTGAGGTTGTAACACACTGTTATTAGGACTTAAAAAAAAAAAGGCAAAGTAAAAACCCAATCTGTGGTTTTACCAAGAGAGACTTCAGTGTTCTATTTAAGAGCAGTAAGCAGCCCTTGGGAAAAAGGCAGATGATTTCCATAGCTCACAAAAAGAAGCCTGGGAGGAGGCTAAATGGGTTAGTCGCCAGGCTCTCCAGCCAACTCATTCCTCCAAGTCCCAAGTACTATCGAGTTGTTTAAACTGATTGAGCCCCACATTGAGAAACTCTTGTTGACATGATAACACGTTACTGCCTGACAGACCTAATTACACACACACAAAAAGAGGCAGGAAGAGCTCTTGGGAAATCTGAAGCTCAGTAATTACCAGACCCTCTTCCCAAATGCCAACCTGACAGCCTTCTCGGGCACAACAGGTTTGCACACCGCCGTTCCTTCTCCCACGGCACAGGGCTGTGAGACTAGGTTGCTCTTCAGGCACGCTGTCACATCTTAGTTCAAATCCCGGGCTGCGTTCCCAGCTTTCCTCAACTCCACACCATGCCGGTGAAGTTATGGAAGTACATGAGGTTCTCCTTCATTTTGCATTTCTAGTGGAAAGAGCCAGGCTGATCCGATCTGTGGGTGCTCGTGGAGTTGTTATTCTGCAAATGCTCAGTCACCAAGGTTCTTCTGCAAACACCCCAGCACACCTATTCCTCCCCACTTACACCCTCCTTTTGACCCACTACTGTAAAATTAGGGAAACTGTTTCTTTCTCAGCATATTTGTGAACAGAGCCTGGAAATTTTCAACTCCGGGTCCTTCAGAGCTTAGCACAGCAATAAATAACCATGCGGCAGCACATGGTGACACACTTGCACTGAACTTTCCAGGAAGAAATTCCACGGGGATCCTACATCCTCTAAATTAGAGCTTCCAAACTGTCTGTATGCACTCACACTCGCCCTTGGCTCTCGTTCCTCATCAAATGATGGGTCTGCAGTGTTACTGCTGCTACGTTACCTCTACAAACGGAGAAGGAAGCACCGCACCCACCTCCGTCACGCCGGCTCCCTCCCGAGGAACGGCGAAGGACGCCCAGGAGTGCGCGTTAGTAGCTGCTGCGCGTTATCTGCCCAGTCTTCATCAGACAGTTTCTATTGCTGAGTCCCTTTTCTTTTTCCTTGCCAGCACTAGAAATGAAATCAAAGAAAAAAATAAATCACTTTTTTCTTTTTTTAAAAAGGAGAAGCAGAAAATTTTGCTAAAAAAGAAAATACAGCACTTTTCCCCCCTCCCTTTTCAGAGAAGAGTTTCAGGTGAAATGGGAAATGAACCCAAACCAGCCCTTCAGCAATGAGAGCTTTCTACTCCCTAATGCTCTCAAAGAAAAGGATTACACCCCAAATCTCTGATGGCTTGGGGACCAGGAGCATTCAGAGGATCGTCCTTCTGCAGCTGAACACGGAGAACACAACTATTAGGTGTGGGCTTTAAGGTACATTTGAGATCACATCTTTAAAAGGAGCAGATGGGAAATTCACTCTGAATTGCTTCGCGTGCTACAGCCTTAGGGATCATCACGAGGGATTTGTACCATCTCCAGAGCTCAAAGGTACAGGGCAATTCTCCTGGGTCAAGATCGACACCGCTACACGCACCACCGGTAAACCGTCTTGTAGTCTGAATTCAGGGGAATAACTGCATCCCCGCCTTTGGG